AGACAACATCCACTGCTCTGCCCTCATCTACCCAGCCAGTCATCCCATCAGAGAAGGCTATCAGCTTGGTCCAGCATGATTTCCCTTTGGTGAAGCCGTGCTGACTCCTCCTGATCACCTTCTTGTCCTCCAGATGCTTAGTGATGACCTCCAGGATGAGCTGTTCCATCACCTTTCCCGGGATGGAGGTGAGGCTGACAGGCCTGTAGTTTCCTGGCTCCTCCTTCTTGCCCTTTTTGAAGACTGGCGTGACATTGGCTTTCTTCCAGTCATCAGGCACCTCTCCTGATCTCCAGGACCTTTCCAAGAGGATGGAGAGTGGCCTAGCGATAACATCCGCCAGCTCCCTCAGCACTCGTGGACGTATCCCATCGGGATCCATGGATTTATGGATGTCAAGTTTGGACAAAAGATCTCTAACCCGATTCTCCTCAACGAAGGGAGAGTCTTCCTTTCTCCAGCCTTCCTCTCTTGTCCCCAAGGTCTGGAATTCCTGAGGACTGGCCTTAGCAGTAAAGACTGAAGCAAAGAAGGCATTCAGCAACTCTGCCTTCTCTGTATCCTTCGTCACCAGGGCACCCGCCCCATTCAGCAGCGGGCCCACGTTTTCCCTAGTCTTCCTTTGCTATTGATGTATTTGAAGAAGCCCTTCTTGTTGTCCTTGACATCCCTTGCCAGATTTAATTCCAACTGGGCCTTAGCCTTCCTTGTCGCATCCCTGCACACTCTGACAACGTCCCTGTATTCCTCCCAAGTGGCCTGTCCCCTTTTCCACATTCTGTACACTTCCTTCTTCTTTTTGAGTTTTGCCAGACAACCATGTCCTGCTGCCAATCTTCTCCCTGCTCTGATGGTCTGCTCTCCGTATGTTTAGTGACAGCTCTGGTAGAGTGACACAAATGGGTGATTATCCCAGAGCTTTCTCTCCTAGACCCAAGATAATGGAAAGCTCCCCCCCACCCACAAAATCTACACTGTAACTCATTTCCCCACAAATGATTAGTGAGCTACAGGGCTGAAAACATTGTTGATATCACAGAAGTAAACAATAAAGAGCCTGAAACATCAGATTATACTAGTGAGGCTTTCATGCATAATAAGCATTCCCCAGCTTGCATTCCACAGTGAGCACACCTGTCAGGATGATTACTGCAGTACACTCTGCTGAAAATTTGTATTTTCAGTAACACCTGCAGTTTCCTTAAGCAGACTATCACGCGTAAGTCATAGCAATAAGAAGCCCCTCGACAACGTAGCCCCATCTCTACCCAGGCTTTCTTTCCCAGCATAAACAAACCACCCCCCGGAGAAAAAGGGAAGGGAGAAACAAGGCAGGACACCTACAGCCTGCCGCTGTCCCGGAGCGCCCCGCACGCCCGCTCACGCAGACCAGGCCTGGAGTGGGGGGGGACGGACGGTCCTGCCCTCGCCCCTCACCGGGCAGCGCTACCACCGGCCA